CACATATGGTAGTAGATGGCTACTACTTCTCGTGTTGACCATCTTTGGCCGTGGGAATAGAAGTTTATCAATTTTTCCACAGACGGCGCCAATGTTTTGTCCTGAGGACATATATGTCTAGTCAAGAGACTAGTTAGTTTATATTAGATCTAGGTGCTCTCTCAGGTATTTATGGATTAGATAACTTTGAGTATAGTAGGTCACTGTGCACAAATAATAACGATGTTTGTTAAAAGAGTGATGTGTGTGCACATGACAAAATAACAATAAAAAGGGAGTATATATGTCCTACATGTGAGCTTTATCTCTTGTTTATAAGATTTGCCTGTGGGTATTGGAATTTTGGACCTTTTGTGTCTCTTCTAGAAGCCTAAGCTCAAGTGTAATGCTATCGTATTAAGATTAGTATCTTGAATTGATATTATCCTTTGATTGTAGTAGATTCTTCTTTTGATTACCCATTACTAGGCTTCATATACATGAGCCTCGTATATGAGTCCATAGCAGTTATCACTGAAGCACAGACATGCCATTTTAAAAAAAAAATGTGTGTCGGACACTGACATATTCTGACACGCATCCGACATGCGATTAACATTTTCAGACACACGATCAATGTTTATGCAGATCCAAATTTTATTTTATCTTTTTAAATATATATGAAAAAGTAATTTATAAATTAAATATTTTTTGTTATGGAATTTGACATGAAAAATTAACAAGACATGAAAAATTATTTTTGCTTTATATTTATATCATAAAATTTGAATATTTGATTAATTATATGACTTATTATAAGCTGCTATATGTATCAAATATAAATTATATTATATATATTAAAATATTATTTAATATCAAAATGTGTCCTAAAATGTCAAAAATTAACATTTTTTACAACTAACATGGCAAAGTGTCATGTCATATCGTGTCATGTCGCGTGTCAATATTGATGCAATATAAATTGTTACAATATGTGAATTCTCATTGTCAGTGAGGGTGGCCAATCAAATTTCGTTGTCCTAACCATTGTATTGTGAAATATTTCTGTCTGGCTGTGAATATAATAAGAAATGGCTATAAAAAATATATTTTTTTTTTGTGAATCTATAAAAATAATTAAACACCCTAAAAAATCCAATTGTTTGCTATCAAAGTAGTCTCCCTCTTGGTTGTTCTCACAGCCTAAAAAGAAGTGAAAAAATGATGAGAAATATGCTGCGTTTTCTTTAAGTCATTTCGACATAGTATATAAAGTTGCATCAATCAAAGGACTGTCCCAAAGGGTCTGAGATCAATTCATCTTTACCAAATTCGATATTAGAAACAAGATAGTAGTAGTGCTGTGGATTCATTGCCATTGCATTGAGTGTATATGTGGAGACTAAGAATTTGGTGCCATTCTTCTAGTTACTTAAAAACTAGAAAGCACCACAAAATTTTGCCATGCAAAGAATGTGGTGTCATATATTAATTAGAACTTTATATACGTTTCGGTTAACTTAATTTACTTTATGTAAAGGAATTCATATTCAGAGACAACTTAAACAAACTTATGTTTTTCATGAAAATTAAATATAATTGTTCTCCACCCACATATTGGGTCTGATAAGTTCTTGAAGATTACAAGTTTTATCTATTATTAGATAAATCATTCTATTAATATAGGGTTAAATTTCACATGTACCTTTTCTGAAACCTTAGTCTTATTTTTTGTTATTGTGTATGCACATTATGTTCGTTGACTTCAAGCCTTTTTTCATACGCACTGATCTGTTATTATTTGCGGCTGTCTCATCTATAAACATTGCTAGCTCACAAAGTCAACATTAATCACAGTCATCTCAGATCGAACAAAAATGAAACATGAGTGTATTTGTAACATCATTAATTTGCGTTTTAGTATAATGGGAATAATTCCGACCCGAATTCTCAATAAAAAGCTTAGTTGTAAGCTAATTGTGTGGAAGTTACTAACAAACATACATTCTACCTTGGATGATGACCAAGAAAAAAGTTCCACAGCTTCAAGATTCTCGCAACAATGTGGTACTCAACCAAAAATTGATCCCGAGATTGTAATGCTATTCATGTAAGTATAGTCTCAATCTAATCATTAATGGAATCATGAATCAGCCATAGTTCAACCCAAATATTCGAGTGGATTTTGAGACTACTTACATGATATTCATATAAAATATATGAGTTTAAATATTACATAATATTGGATAACTGAACGTGATTCAATTATTTTCAAGTGGGTTAATATTCGACTGATTGAGCTTTAATCAGCCACGCACGTAATACATTAATTTTCGGCTAAACCAATGTATGCAATGAGATAATTAATAAATTTATCTTAGATTCAATATTTTAAAAAAAGTATACTTACTGAATTCTATGTAATTACTTCAAAATAACTTATAGTTTTAAATTGATTACATATATTAAACATTTCTCCTTAGTAAACTTGCAGTATTCAAAGGTACCTTTATACAATTGAAGAGCCTAAAATAAAGTTACATGCTTAGATATAAATGATTGGGAGGGGTTATATATATTCACAAATTTTTTTTCTTACAAACTTACAAATTATATTAAGTCTGATTAGTCAGACTTCAATCAAAAGTGTGTGACTGGTCAGACTTAGTGTAGTTTATAAGTTTGTAAGAAAAAAAGTTTGTCAATATAATTATTCCTTAAATGATTTGCCCTTATATTTAAAACTTTATATTAAATTTTCTAATTTCAATGAAGAACTAAAATATAGTTTGTTCCAATTTATCAGTGGTCTCAAGTTTGAGTAGCTGTGTTAAAAATTTAGTAATTGTTTTTTTGCTACATGATTGTGTCGAATTAAAACCAAATTAATTGAGTAATTACTATCTTATGGGGAAATAAAAAGCAGAAAAATATTTCTGCAGTTACTGCAGATAAGTTATCTGCATTTACTTCCAAACGACATCGTTTTGGTATTGAAATATTAAAAAATTATAATTATAAAGACTATAACAACCCTGAAATAAATTAAATTATAAAATTACCATGATTTTCGCCCGAAAATGACGTTGTATTGAGCTTACTACAGATAACTTATCTACAGTAACTGCAGAAAAAGTGAACCTAATAAAAAAATATAGTTAAATTGTATAATAAATCAATTATTATAAAAATATGCAATTATTAGTAATAATTTTAAGAAATAATCATATTTATTAATTCATCATCTGTGTTTAAATTACTGACAAACAATTTTTAATGTGTCAGGATCATTATTTACTGGCGTAAATTACACTTTCAATTTTGGTCATTGATCCTACTTAGATCTAACGATTCTAATTTTTTAATAATGTGATTCAGTAGATATAGTGGATCAATGGTTAAGATTATGTATAATATTTCTTATTCTTATTCTTATATCAGTATAAAAATATACGGCCCCATTTTTAATTAAGAAAATTGAAAAAATATATTTAAACTTCAGAAATCCATCCAACCAACAATACTTTTTCTTTGGGTACATTAACCAACAATACTTGAATATCAAGTAAACAACAATCTATAAGTATAATTTTTTTTATAAAATTATTAAGTCATATATAACATAACATCAATTGGCAAAAATCAATCAACATAACTTGATTACTTTAGTTTAAGCCAATTGGTGACCCAACAACTACAAGGACCCTTAATCACCAAAATCAATCAGACAATTCACTTCGCCATAATCATTGTAGCTTTGTGGCACCTTCCAAGCTTGACTACTATTCCAACAATGCCAAGGACAAGACGTGTTGATCAATTACGCGCCCCAAAATGAATTTTAATAATTGATAATTAACCTGGGTCCTCACAAAGTTTATACCTATTTTAACTACAATTAATGATTATAATCTCTACTTTTTTAACTGTTTAATTAACTTCCCTTCTAATATTTTCAAATATAATAATAAAAAATAAAAAGAGAAAGGATTGAAAACCTCGTAAAACGAGAGAGCGAGGCAAAAAGGGTTTTGATTTTGGCGGATGAGTGCTGAGAAGGGCAAACTCAGCCTTTCTTTCTTTCATCACTCTGTTCCTTTCTTCTTACGTGCGTCATCACTAGCAACATCACTATCGTTCATCTCATCACCCTTAATTTAAATTTAAAATAACTAAATTAAGTTGTTAAATTTTATTCTACATTTATTTATTAATTTTAAAATCTGAATTTATCCATTATATATGGAGTAATTAATTCTATTATAATATTTTACTTATAAGTTTAAATATCGAATCAATAATTATTTGATTAATGTATTAATTAAAATTAACGTGGTTTGTAATTTGTAATTAAATCCAAATTAAATTAGTGTTCGAATAAGATAACTCGATTCATATTATTTATTATTATATTGATTCAACTTTTAAACGAAATTTAACAACAACAAAAAAACTATTCAACCAAATTAAGTAGAATTTATAAAAATATTATATATAAGACATAACAATTCTAACAAAATAATCTAGACGTAAAAAATTACAAGATAAAAAATAAAAGTAATAAATAAATTGGGAATGGCAAAATAAACAAATAAACCTTTAAAAAAATAAACTAAATAATAATATTTAATAAAAAATTATATTTGCAATTTTTTTCCCTTACAATTATTTATTGAATTAAAATCAAATAACGATTTGAATTTAATATTATTTTATAATTATTAATTTTATTTTGATTTAACAATTATAAAAAATATTATAAAGGGTTGTAATAAAAAAAAAAAAAGAGATAAAGAAGGAGAGTTGAGAAAACGACAGAAACCCAGAAACCCAGTGTCAGAAATATCTGCAACACACAGAGAGAGAAAGAAAGCAGCATATACACACACATTTCAATTATTACCGGAAATAGCCGGTCGTCATCCGGTTTCTCGAAACCCACAACCCTATGCCTCTTCCCTTCGGAGTTCGCACTTTGTTCCTTGTTTTGAAGAAAGAATCTATGTTCTCTCCGTGACGCAAAGACCCATCAGTGTAGTAAGAGAAAGAAAATATTAAAGTCATCATTTTTTTTGAACATGAGTTTTGTGAGAGTTTGTGTATTTCAGATGCGTGAATTGTAGTGAAACCAAAACCAAAACCAAAACCAAACCCATATCTCAATTTTCAATCACAATCAATTCACGTATCTCTTTGATATATAGATAAACTTTGAACACTTTGTCTTGTCACACTTAGTTTGCAGCATCAGAATAACATCACTACAATTATACCCTTTTCTTTCATCGTCACTTCCCTTCTTCCATTAGTACTATATACTCTTCTCTCTTACTTCAGTTACTTCTTCTTCTGCTTAAAAGCTTCGTTATTTTTTAGCTTTTTTTTTGTGTGTGTGTTTTTTTGTTTCTATGGCTGAGGGTTTTGAGGGTTACCATGTCCCACAACAAAGTAGAAGAGATAAGCTAAGAGTTGTTGTGGCTCAGAACCAACATGGTCTTGTTGAAACATCTTCTACACTCCCTCTTAGTTGTGCAACTTTGCTTCCTTTGTATGACCCTTCACTCATTTCTTCTGATTTGTTAACGTGTGCTAATCAACATGGTCACAGCTTCCTCAACAACCAAGCTTCGAAACAGAACTTGGGTAGTTGTGTTGTGAAAGAAGAAGGTTCAAATTTGATGATGGGGTTTGGAGGGGTTATGAATGGTTCTTCTTCTTCTTCTTCTTCTAATGTATCTTCTGTTTCTCACCATGGTTACTTGGATCCAGAATCTTCTTTGCCTTTGAACCCGAGTACAATTCAAGTTATTAGCAGCAGCAACAACAACAATAACAACAACAACAACCCTTTTTTCTACCACACACAGAGCCTGCAGAACTTTCGAGAGTTTGATCAGAGCTATAATGGTAGTGAAATCATGGTGTTCAAGCCTGAGCCATTGTCTTTGTCTCTGTCATCACATAACAGTGCTTCACAACAGGGTAATCTTCCTCTGGAGCTGAATCTTCAGCGATATGGGTCTGTGATTTATGGTGATAAGGTTAGTGGTGGTGGTGGTGGTGTGATTCCGGGTTTGGTTGGAGGAGTTAGTGCTTCTGCCTCGAATGAAGTTTCGAGGTGTTCAGTGCCACTGGGGCCATTTACTTGTTATGCTTCGATATTGAAGGGATCGAGGTTCTTGAAGCCTGCACAACAATTATTGGAAGAGCTATGTGATGTTGGGGGTCGTGGAATTTGTGTTGAGAAGATGGTGGTTGATGCATCGTTGATGGAGCCTCCTCCTGAGAGCTTAAGTGAAGATCCACTTGGGGATGAGGGTGAGGGTATCAAAAAGTCAAGGCTATTAACTATGCTTGATGAGGTGTGCTTTTGTTTTTGTTTATGTTTTAATCCTTTCTCTCTCTCTGATTTGTGCTATTATCATTTGAATTTTTTTTGGTGAAATGGGTTTTCTTTCTTTTCTCAGTTTCAACTGTGTTTTCACGTTTGATGTTCCTGTTGATTTTGGTTTTGTCATTTTGTCCGTTTGCGTTACTGTTTTAGGTCAGTTTATCCAGAAAAAAAAAAGGGTTATTGGGTTAATTTTCCATTTTATTTATTTGTTTTCTAAAAGTTAAGTGCCCATGTTATTATTAATGTATTGATAATGATTCCTTCAAAGTGGAAGGTTGGTTGGGTTATTAGTAGACAAGCATAAGGCTTGATGGATTGTATGAAGGAAGCGTGTGGTTTATGGTGGTATTTGTGCGATTATTTGTTTGTAATTTATAGCTTTCATTAATGAACTTATTGTATTCTATGTGCATTAAGATTCTTGCATTTTTTGTGATGGATGGCCTCGGTGAACTCAATTGTCTTTTTGGAAAAGTTAATGGGTGGGAATATATGCACCAAGATTGGTATAGTAAAGTGTCTGCCAACTATAGAAAGATTTCTAATAAGTGACTATGTCACAGTTTGAAGGGATAATTTGTGCATAAAGTTATTGAACGAATCCACTGGAAAAGATTTATACTCAGAAAAAAGCGTGTAGTGATATGATCATGGTGTTCAAAGGTTAAAGAAACTTACATATTTAGATGACAATGTGTTTTTCCCTTTAAGATTTGGCTTATTTGTTTGGGATTACTTTGACATATTAGGGGAGCATGTCATTCAAACTCGTAATGTAATTTAATATTTCATACTATTTTTGCTGGCAATTATTGTTAATAAATTTTATTTGCAAGAAAATGGTCTATATGATATGGTGCATATCTGGCGGATATATTGATTCTGTATTAGGATATTATATATTTATGTTACTATTTCTGATTGGGCAATATTAATGATAAACTATTGGGTGAAATTAACAATATGTGTCATACATGCTTGTGATATTTATCTAGAAAAGCAGATGTATCGATTATTTTTATATTGAATTCTAACTTTCTTCTGAGGTGGATGAAGTTAAAGAATAGAATATATGTTAATCTTACGCTCTATATCTTAACAAACTATAAAACTACCTTTATGTACATAAATACTATGTTATGTAGTTATCTCGCACATTCAGGTGACCTTGTAAAAAATATGCAGGTATCAATGTTCTCTCCTTCATTGTTTCTCGGATTGTTCTTGAATATAAGAACAACCTTAAGAAAAAGGTGAGAAAATTAATAAAGTATCTACATGTTCCATATTAGTGTATGCTGCCATGATTAAAAGCTATTTATCAGAGTTCAATTGTTTTTGGGAGAAATGCTCAGCTTAGGCTTGTCTTGCTTACACTGACATTAATAACTTATTCATTGAATCTTATTAAAAAATAAAATCAGAGATTCCTTTGAAGCATAGAAGCCTCATGTGAAACTTTTGTTAATTTGAAAGTAAGTTATATATAATAAAGGTAGCATAGAAGCCTCGTATGAAACTTTTGTGAATTTGAAAGAAATTAACTATTATAAACGTAGCCCAATGTGTTAAACCAATATTATTCTGCCACGTAATGGAAATTTTTTGTTTCACATCATTTTCTCCCTACCTCATTTTTTACATCATAGTTTCTGCAGTGATTGGTTCATTTGTGGATTGCAAACCCATAATTCACATTTGTAGGAATTGTGACCCCTTAGAATTGAAATGGTGAAAGTGATGTAACTTAAAGTGGTGTGCAAAATTCATAACTGTGAATATAAATGGGAAAATATACTCTTATGTTGTAGGAGAGAATTTTTCTTTCCTACACATACCTCGATTTTCGTGGTACTTTTTTTTCTTTTTCTATAATGGGTGGGTCCCACACATCATTATCTCTATTGCATGAGATAAATATATAACTTCAAATATAAAATAGTAAATTTATGCCTGCCCCCCCCCCCCCCCCCCCCCCCCCCCCCCCAAAAAAAAAGGAAAATAGTTAATTTATACATTTCGTTTTTTTTTTTTTGAAAACATTAGATTACATATTTATCTCCCTTTGAAGGGGATGAGGTTTTCTCATAATGAAGTCTAGTGGTACCAAGTCTCATTTTTATTATCTTATTTTAGCTTTTCTTCCAAACAATTAAAAGCTACAATTGGTTGCTGTTTTATTTTGTGTCTGGCTGTTGGATATTACTATTTGTAGCTTATGTGCATTTTGTTTATTGGTTTTTCTCTCATATATGATTTTGGATGTTCCATTTGTTCAAATGAATGAACTTCTTGTTTTCAACAACTACTTTATTTTTTCTTAATGATTAGAAGCCGATGCCCCAATGAGGTATTTAATTTCTTTATCCATAGGATATTTGTAGTGATTAACAATTTAACTGGCTTATGAAAAGCTTTTTGGTGGATGTAAATTTGGGTATATGGGTCTGCAATAGCAATTTTATGGATAGGAATGCATAAGATTTTATGTCTTTTCCTTTTGAAATAAAGATATGAGATGCCTGCTCTTAATAAACCTCTTCACTTTTCCATCTTCTCCTATATTTTGCATCCTCACATTGGATGTAGCATAGAATTGCTTTGTTTATCTGTTTATGACTTTTGGCCTTTAAGAGAGTGAAGCAACTTCTTGTGAATTTTGTGAAAGATCAGATAACCTTTTGTAAATATGAACATCTGGATGCAAACAAATTTCTGTTATGTCATTACACATTTGGAAGATCTGTCTTTGAAATTCGACTCTCCCGATGTTTAATGTATATAGTTTCCCCTACAATATTTTCTCCAATTGTAAGGACTTTCTCTATGGAGATAATGAAGAAATGCCTATTCCTACAACTCAGTATAATTTCTGAATTTGTTGTTGACCATCAGGAATACTAAATGATGTGCACATTGCATTAGCTGTCATCTTAAACTCATAAATGTTGAATTTTTGGAATATATATGAGCCAGCAAAGTTGATGTAAATTTTATGGAATCATACTTGCCAACAAATGGGATTTCTTCCTATCAATCATTGCATGAAATACTAAGTCATCCATCCAATGTCGGATCTTTTAGGTCCAAATTTTTGGATTTGAGGCTAGGAAATTTACATGTTTGGGGGATTTGGGTGAAGTTTTTGTTTAATGTGCTTTCCATTTTAGTATTATTTAATTTCTGTCTTGTTCCTTGCAGAGTGTCTAGGTAAATCTTTTGTTTAATATGTGGAGCTTTGCATGTGACTGTCACAATGATGTATGAGTGACCTTGGGCCATATGTATCTGAAGAATGTGTGGGTGTTATAGGAAACCCAAACCTCAGTGGGCCTCATTGATTTTGAACCCATGAAATATAGTTATGAAAATTTACTAGAGCGATTAAATCAGTGTTAAGGAGTCCTATATAATCTTGTCAATGGAACTATTATTTTGAGATGTTCATTAGCCTAGTCTGGTGGCATTAAGGATTATTAATCATTATGTTTTGTTTGCAGCCCAATGTGCCTGGCTCAGCGTTGAACTGTTAGTGCTTGTTCTCACTTTTATGTGCCATTACTTATTGAGAAATTATGAATTTTACTGGGAATTTTTTTTCTAATCTTAAATTGGCCCATTAGCTGGTTGGGCAATGAAAAGTGATTGCTTGTTTTTCAGTAATATGCCCCCTCTGCCCATCTGAAACAAACAATATTCTTGAGTTGGGCCTTTGGAATGATAACTATGCCTAGGTAGGAAGAGGATATTAGTTCATTTTTTTCACTAATATATGACTTCTAGGATATTAGTTCTTTTTTTCTTTTTCTTTTTATTTTTTTTCATATGACTTCTGTTGGTAAACACAGTTTGGAATCATGTACCTCAACTTTGGAGATGCTCATCTCCAAAAGTAGATTCATTTATGAAATTTCAAATATCACTTGATCTAGTTGGTCCTGGTGTCCCCCTCAATTGGGGTGTAGTGATGTAATTACAGTTGCTAAAAAATAGCTTCTTTCATCCTGTTGTGGGTCAAGTTTTTGTTAAGTAGCTGTATGAAAGTTGCAAGGATGGAACATATTTGTCCTTCATTTGATGATACTTTTCCGAATTCCGATTACTATATTCTTTCCTAATTACTGTGATGATAGATGATCTGAATGTATTAAAGCCCAGTTAGACATTAATACTCCTGATTTGGACAGGTTTTAATTTATTAATTAAGTGTATTTAATCCTAGTGGGGTGGGGCAGGGGGGAGCTCACAGAGTCACGGTAGAGGACCCCAAGTAATGGGTTAAGCTAGCCCAACCAGAGCAAATAGAATCGACATCATGTTTCAACCCAAAAACTTAAAGCATTGGATTTATAGGTCCTCCTATTTAGATGAACTTTACTTAGCCCATTACCAACTAATATGAGATTTCACTACACTTGAATATCCCTTGAAGTCCCTCATTGTTATATGGTGGGTAAATTATGTAGTCTCTATAAATCTTTAATTGAAGTGGGATCTAGTCTCAGCTCTATTAGATGGGTTACATGAGTAGTCATTTCTGCTTTCATATCAATGCTAAGGTTATTACTTAAACAGGAAAAGCTAATATTAAAGCATTCCTTAACTACAATGATGTTTGATATTTAATCCTAATTGTGATAATTGTTGTTTATTTATCCTGAACAGGTTTACAGGAGGTACAGGCAATACTATCAACAGATGCTTGCGGTAGTAACATCATTTGAGTATGTCTCAGACCTGAGCAATGCAGCTCCCTATGCAAGTTTGGCTTTAAAAGCCATGTCTAAACATTTTAGATGCTTGAAGAATGCAATTACTGACCAACTTCAGTTCACCAATAAGGCTCATTTTCACATAAGCAACAGGAAGGATGAATCTCCAAGGTTTGGCAACAGTGATAGAGGCCCTTACAACCAAAGGTCAGGGTTTTTTGAGCACCAACCTGTTTGGAGACCACAGAGAGGACTCCCTGAGCGTGCCGTGACTGTTCTCAGAGCATGGTTGTTTGAGCACTTTCTGCACCCGTAAGTGCCATTTTTTATGTTTATTAATATGAATCAAGTAATGCCTTGACTTTGGTATCTTCTTAGAAATAGAATATAAAAAACCTTCATGTGTCTTCACCTAATAGGATAAGCTTTTGGCATAGTTGATTCCTGACGTGGTACGAGAGACTCTATGACCAACCTTGCCGCCCCATTCTTCTAATAAAAAATAGAATTTTGGCACAAGGTAGTTTGGTCTATGCAATGTCCACTTGTTAGAGATATAATATAAAAATTGTTCATATGTCTTCACTTAACCGCCTAAGCTTTTGAAATAGTTGGTTCGTGACATATACCATTAAGGACATGGTGGTTTTTCCTCCCCTGCCAAACTGTAGATCTGTGTACCTTTGAACCCCCTTTCTTGTATTTATTATGTTTCAATTGCCCAGTTATTGTTTTCTTTTTCCTTATATAGCTATCCCACGGATACCGACAAGCTAATGTTGGCTAAACAAACTGGTCTATCTCGTAGCCAGGTGAGCATTCTTGATATATAAATGATTCATTCTCTAAATCATTTCATACTTAATGGTTAATGTGTTTGTTTTGTTCTACTAATATTTGACAAGGTCTATTTGTGTGGCAGGTGTCTAATTGGTTTATTAATGCTAGAGTAAGGCTCTGGAAACCAATGGTGGAAGAAATACACATGCTAGAAACACGGCAAGTTCAAAAGAATTCACAGAAGGAAGAACATTGTAGGAACAAATTAAGTGATCATTTACCTTCAGATAGCTCTCTTGTTTCTGAGAATCCATCTACTTCCACAGATAAATTTCAGGATACCCCTTTTAAGCGCGCTATAAATGAACTTCCTAATATACACGTTAGGAGTCAGGAACAACTGAATCTGCCTTGCACAGGAAATCAGCCAGTGGGTGTTGGAGTGAGCATGGGTGGTGCAAGCAGTAGTGTGTCACTGACACTAGGCCTTTATCAAAATCATGGGATTGGTTTAGCTGAACCCTTTCCCTTGAGTGCTGCTCAGCGTTTTGGACTTGCACTTGAAAACAATAATGAAGGTTATGTTATGAGTGGTTTTGAATCACAAAATAGGCATTTTGGAAGAGATGTTATTGGAGGACAACTATTGCATGACTTTGTAGGGTGAAAATCTTCAACCTAAAATAACTTGCATGGACTTTGATTTGATTGGGGTGATATGTACTAACCATGTTTCATGTTGTGCTTTCTTTCATGAACCATCAGAAATTAGGAAGAAAGAAGGGTGATTAAAATATTACCCTTTTATTGTGATGCTAGTGTTACCTTCATTTGAGCCCACACATGTATGAAGGCTGTAAAATTATTGCATAAATTCATTTGAAGGGGAAAAAAAATGTTGTGTCATAGGCTGACTCATTTATCCGCAGGGAGTAAATTCCAATGTTCTGGCCTTTTGAGCAGTTTGTAAGTTTTTCATTTTTATGGATTTCAATTTGTAATAGTTATATCTTGTACAACCATGTTGTTCAAGTTATATTGTTAACCTAGTCTTTCAGTCATTTCTTTTACCCTCTTAGGTCTGCATGTTCAACTGTAGTTCCTAACATGGAATTTTAAGTTCCTTGACTCCTCTAGTAATTGAAGGTGTTCCTTTCAGCAGCAAAGATTGATACCTTCAACTAATCACTGTTACTTAACTATTGTCTAATGATCACTTTAATAAAATGCAAAAAAATAAATAAATTTTGTACATTCTTTTTTTTTTGACTCTTATACTGATTACAATTTTGATTTTTTCGGTCATTGCCATACTTCATGTTGCTTTCCTTAATACAATACAATTTTTTAACTCTAGAAGCTTAACGTAATAAGTCTACATAAGTCGACTTCTAAATTGATGGGCGACAGTTTGACTTCTGAATAGTGTACGGTGACTTTTACGAATAAATCTTGAGTGCATTAGATTATATTTGTTCATTTATTTTATGATACATGGACAAAAAATAACACATTATCTATTTTTTCAGATGATGTAATGTTTTTTGTTTGACAGAAATTTTTATAATAATTGTGGGTTTCAATCAATTGTAGTTTTTATTATTTTAATAAAAACGGGTTAAGTCATGATCCATATAGGAGTGCAGTATAAAGTTCAGTTAACTAGTGATCCTTTTGATTTGGACTTTGATATATGTAAACAGATTAGTGTGGGTAATCGTGTAGGCCTAACCCATAGGCCCATGATGGGAAGGGGATTAGGGTTAATAAGTTTGGCTGGTCCCCTCTGCATTCACAGTGTGTGAAAAATCGTCACTCCACAGTTTGCCCCATCGACGGTTGTGATCAGGGAGTGATGTGAATTACAGAGAAAGATCATGGTCTTTCTATTGCAGGAGCATCAAAATAAACAAGGAGCCTTCAAGAAATCAAGAATGATGTCTTGAACAAGTAAGCCTAAATTTTGGTGGTCTAATTGCATATAATCATATTTTGAAATTTCTTACATTTGGTTTCAGAGCCTAAATTATATGAATTAGAACCCAATTGTTTATGATTTGATGTGATTTTATTTCTTTTGTTTGAGATTGAATTTACTATTTTTGTTGTTCTTGATGAAACAAAATCGCTTGACATATAAATTGTGTTGATGGGTCATCTTCTTGATTTCTGTATTTGAAAGCGTATCAATTGTTTGACATATAAATAGTTTGAAAGCGTAGTTAGTCGAAATGTATAAAAATTGGAGATTTAAATGATTTAGCTATTTTTTTTACTAAAAAAAAGAGAGAGGGAAGAAACAATATTGATATATTCATCAATACGGTGTTACTGTGTGCCACTTGGATGTTACTACTAGAGTACTAGATAAAAAAAAAAGAGAAAGAAGAGAGAGATAGAATCAAATTTTGGAATTGCAAAATCAAATTTCACTCGTGATCAAGAAGACTACTGCGCAAAGATGCAAGCTTGTTGATTAAGATATTAATTATTTATAATTTTGTAATCGAAATTCTTATTTTAAAATAATAATAATAACTATTATTATTATTATTTGATTTGAGATTCTCTTTGGATTTGATTGAAAGCTTTCAAGATATACCTTATATTCGTGATTGTGGGTTCTGGATATAAACAAATACATTACCATTGTTGTTTTTGTATTTAGTTGAAACTATTTGGAATGAATTTTTTAAAATAAAAGTTATTTGATAGTCACATGAGTTACATCACATTTAACATGAATAAAAAAGCATGAATTCATGATAGCTTTGATGAATACTATTTTGCTTAGAGTTAGGGGTTATTTATGAATGCAACATATTTCCCTGGCAGGGAAGAAGACCCGTTTGGATTTTTTGAGTGAAGCTCATTCATAGGCTATGACGCATAAGGCACTTATGAGCCCAATAGTGACTTAATTTTCACCAAATATTACTTGTGTGGTGTTATAATTAAATATGATTTTATGATATATTTAAAATAAATAATAAATTTTTGTAATAAATATTCTTTTTTTAAAGTGATAAACCTTATATGCTTGCTCTAATATATTTTTTTGTTTATTAAGATGCATGCTTCCGCTTGAATTGATTAAATACAAAATTTGTTTGGGAATGATTTTGGTTATTTCATGCAATTTCTTGCTCAAAGGGAGGAATTGTGTGTTATAACTGTAAATTTGTTTGGGGTGATGTTAATCGAGGTGCATTGATCTAGGTGATCTGTATGCCTAAAGAGGATACATCTCTAAAGCCAATGTATGCTCATTGAGCAAATTTTCTTTGAGGTTATAGATGAAGTTATTGGAGGCTCATTAGGCTAGAAATCTATCCGCCCAAAGGGGATGGATTCTCGAATCCAATGTTGTGCACATTGATTAACTCATCTGAGGTTCTAACCTTGATTTAGACCTTGGTTTGTGCATTCTGCCCAAAGGGTAATGTACTATTATGTTGGCCTTGTTATGACAACTCGTTATGCTAAATGATTAACTCATCCTGAGCAACTTCTTCTTGAGGTTGTAGATGAAGTTATTGGAGGCTCATTGGTCTAGGAATCTATATGCCCAAAGGGGATAGATTTTCAAACCCAGTGTTGTGCTCATTGATTAACTCATTGGAGGTTCTGGCCTTGGTTTAACCTTGGTTAGTGCATTCTGCCCAAAGGAGAATGTACTGTTATGTTGGTCTCATCATAATAACTTAATTAAATTGAATGTGTATATTGTCCTTTAGTTTATTCTAATGCATACCTGTTTTGCCTTAAGAACTTCTTTGTTAGTTCCTTTAAATAAATTTGACTTTGATTCATTTTGAAATCAATATCTTGAAATATTTATTTTAAATTTTATATGCATAAATATTTATTTGAAATTATTTGCTCTTATTCATGTTTAATTTTATGAGAAGTATCTATGATTTTTTTTAATGAAAATTATTATAGATTATGGTGATTATAATGTTAGTATTTACTCTCTCAATTTTAGCGTAGTTTTTTTGTGCTTTGTCAATTAAGTTTGAATAGTGACCTAAGATATATAATTGTTGATATTGGGGATTGAAATTTGTGACAAAAAATTGCAGTTTAGTAAATGAATATGAATTTGAGAAACATATGCTATAAGGTTTTTCATATTATTTAGGTATAATTGTTGAAAATGTTATTTGCAATGTTATTTAAAAATTGTTAGAGTTCTTAATTGATAAAAATTATTGTCTGCAATTATCTGCCCAAAGGAAGTTATTGTATGCATCAATTTTCAAATTTGCATTGAGTTAAAATTTAAAATAGTGTCAAATAATTATGTACTATGTACTCTGCCCAAAGGAGAGTTTATAATATGCTAATTATTTTGTTAAAATTATTTCATTGCTCATAATTAATATAATTGTATTTATGTAATAAATATACTTTTGATATGAATGATAACAATGCCATAAAAGAATTGTTGATTGGATTGAATTGTGATTAATGGAGATGAGATCTAGATTTTTATTTTATTTTATTTTTTGAATTTTGATCTTGATAAGGTATTGTGTGTTAGTGTATAATTAATGTAGAGAACATACTTGACATGTTTTTTAGTGGGAGAGATATGATTAATTTTGTGTGATCTTGAAGTTATTAACGAGTCAGTGGGAGATAATTGCTTAGTTTTTAATGTCAAGATATGAGTTTATTTTGAAATGAATTTTCTATAAGTCTTCTTTGAGAATGATTTTGAATTCTATATCTTTTTAAATCAACATGGATTTTATTTTACATTAATGATGATTTGATGAGCTAGTGACTTTCTTGAGCTATAATTAAAATAATTTCTGTTAGTATATTCACCATAAGATCAGTGGGAGAAAAGTCTCTTTTCTTGTATTGTATGTGGATGACTTAGTTATCAAGAATGTTAACTGACTCTCTAACCAAAGGACTTAGACCCCATGATATTTGAAATGCATGTGAAGAACATGTGCATTGTGAGTCGCTTTGATGTGCTTGGTTAGTGGGAGTTTGAGTTCATTGTTATTTATTTATCATGTTGAATTGTTTATTACAGACATAATTGATATTTGGTTGATATATAAATCTCTTATGGAGCAATTGATAATGCATTGAATTTTGTTATTGTATATATTGCATATTTGTGTTTATGTTTATCAATTGTGAAATATTGGAACTCAGTGTCGTTGGGACCACTGTGCCTGTGGTTGACACTATATTGGAGTTTGAGGCATGATAATAAAATTTTGGAACTCAGTGTTGTTAGGACCACCATGCCTGTGGTGAACACTATATTGGAGTTTGAGGCATTTTTGGAACTCAGTGTCATTGGAAGCATCATGTCCGTGGTTGACACTATATGAGAGTTTGAGATATAATAGTGTTGTTAGGACTACAAGGCTCGTAGTCGACACCATATTTGATTATATGATGGTTTTTTTATAAACCATGGAATTTCTCTGGCTTTAAGGCATTTGAGAGAAATTTGAGGACTGACAGAGAAAATAGCATTTTGGCTGTTGTTGGATCATATTGGCATGCTATTTTTTTGCTATACTCCGCACTAATGACTAGTCGACGGAGCCAAATAACATTTGTGACCATGGAAGGTCTTATATCGGTAAGGGTATAATCACCTCCTGATTCAATGTTATTTGATTTTAGTTGGATGGAGTCATATTCAGATATTGCGCCTTGGATCATGTGTTTTCTTAAAATGTGGCCACATTATAAGAATTAGTCCTTAGCCGAGAGTCGTTTTCAAATAACTTATTTTCATTTTCTCTTTTAAATTAAAGTTTTACAATTGATTTTGCCCAAGTGGGAGAATATTAGAAATTGTTATAATAATTGTGGGCTTCAATCAATTGTAGTTTTTCTTGTTTTAATAAAAACGGGCTAAGTCATGATCCATATAGAGGTGCAGTATAAAACCCAGTTAATTAGTGATCCTTTTGATTTGGGCTTTGATATCTGTAAACTGATTAGAGTGAGTAACAGTGTAGGCCTAACCCATAAGCCCATGTTGGGAAGGGGACTAAGGT